ACATTTCATATATTTCTTGTCTTCATCACTAGAAATACGAAAGAAATCAATTCATTCCGATGCAAGTACACTTTTTCTCTTGTCATTGTACATGTTTTATATTTTGTTCTTTACTCCTTAGTCAGCATGGCCTCACTGTGAGTGGAAAAAAAACAAGACGTATGTGAATGAGCCTTTTCTTCTTCTTAAGACACGCCCTTACTAATGAAGTGACGACATTGTTCACTGAAAAAACGACTCTCACTGTATCTACGATTGCTAAAATCATCGTTTGGCAAATAACATTATTGTTGATGTCACACAAATGCACTAGAATCCTGCAGGACAAACTTTTTATGTCACGTATCCAGATTTTTCCTTTAGATGAAAAGCAGCTGACAGCAGAGTGTAGTAGCCGACTTATTGTTTTTCATCTGCTTAGTTGGTCATTAAAAAAAAAATCTTTTTCATCGTTTTCTTGACGCATTTGTCACTACTCAAGTCAACCGCTCATTCTTCATACCTAACCATCATTTTGAAATCGAAAAAAAAATTTGCTAAGATCGTGAAAGGGTTACAAGTAGACATCTGAAGAAGAATATTGATATGTCAAATACTATATGCAATAGTATCCTTCTTATATAGCAATGTTTGGGATAGATTCATTTTCTCTTAACTTATCAGCTGAGTTGAGATAGCAGAACGCGTCTATCATTCATAATGATTTCCTCGACGGATTTTCTACTTGGATTTTGCTTGTGTAGCAGCCTACTTCTTTTTTTTCTATCATTTATTTGAATATTAAAATATTCGTGAGAAATAAAAACATTAAATTGTGTGACATGTTTTGATATAAGAATTAAAAAGCTCTGAACAGTGCATGAGCATTGTTCCACTGCATATTCAATTGTTCCATTCAATATGCTTTATGGAAGACTATGAGTAAGATAAAATGGATGTGGGTCCCCTCTTAGTCCACGTACATTCATACTTTGAGAAAAAAACATCATACAATTCATCAACCAACAATACTAAGCAAACAACTTGTTATAAAAAATGTGTCGCTACATGATAATTTTATATAGACGGTAAGAGTGAAAATTAACACTTCCTAGACATAATCACTGTGACATAGAATTAGCCTTGGAAATTTCATTTTGTGACTGAAAAAACAAGTAGTATTTATCCGTTCAAACTGATGAGATAATGATCATGTCATACACCCAAACACAGTCGATCGTGCAGGACGATGGGAGATATATGAAAAGACTCATATTGATCATTTAATTATTTTTGAAACCTATGTGAAGCTGACGTCAGCCAATATTTCTGAAGTAGATCTCAACTGAAGAAGCGACCTCTCTATCGATACTATCAACTGTGAATATCAGATATTTCAATCACAAAAAGAAAATGATAACATATAGTTCTTCGTGACATCACCATTTACGGAAGGCAGATTAATTTTTGTCAAATAATTTAGAACAGTTTTCTTTTAGAAAAATAAAATCTAAACTATTTGTTGTTTGTATCATCATGATAACTGCTCAAAATTAGAATCAAAATAGATGATATATAAGAAAAGTAGAAAGCGCGGTACATGTTCTTTTTTCAATTCATACGAAATATTTAGCAAGATTTTTTAAATAACTAGCAAAAATGGAAATCGACTATTTTTCAAAATAAACAAACATAAGTGTAGTTTCAAAAAAACAACGCAAATAAAATATAAAGTTTTATCATATAAATGAACTTTGATTTAAAACATTTTCATATTTCATATAAAATATTTTAATTGTTGTCATGTGAGAAGAGTTGTGGGCGTGGGTATGAGTGTTGATCTTTGCTTCACCCACACCCGCACCCACCCTTAGTGCTTATAATTTCTAAAAATCATTTATCGCAAACATATTCATAATACCAGAAATTCCCCAGTTTCCATAAAGAAAAATTTATTGACTTTTTTCGATACACGTATATAACTTTTGTAGTTTACATGTACTGGTATAGATTGCGAAAAAATAGCGGTCTAAATTATTTTGCACTATTTTAACTAGGTCAATTGTGTCTCTGGTTAAATGATTCTAATAAAAGAAATGAAAATTTTCTTAATTGTTTGATTTTCTCTAATAAATGATCGTTAATGATATCAATATATATTTCAATCGAAAGAAAAAAACTTCACCAAGGACGAAATCTTTTTTTTTTTTAGAACACACACATCTGAGGAAAGAACACATGATAGTTATTGAATACATTGGCCATTGGTACTCGGTATTAATATCATATCAATGTATCGTATAAAATCTTTTAGTTGAGGAAACATCAATGAGCAGTAAAGAACAATAAATAGACATAGGCACGACAAGAAAATATATGTAGATATTTATTATACATATTGAAAAAAAAAACAAGTAACAATAAAATAATTAATGTTTTCTAGATTTACTTGATTCTTCATATCGATGTCCATTAGAAGAATGATGCGATTTTCGATCATAATTATCATTATTTGATGAACGATGATGTTTTCTATCATAATCATCATTTTTCGATGACCGATGATGTTTTCGATCATAATCATCATTCTTAGACGAACGATGATGTTTATAATCATCATCTTTAACTGGTGAACGACGTCGTTTATAGTCTTTATTATTGTCTTGTTGATAATAATCGTTCATTAATTGATCACTTGTTTCTTTTTCAACTTTGTCTGCTTTAGATTTATTAACATATTTACTGTATTTAAGAAATTCTTTTTCAGTTACCAATTTAACATTATATTGTGATATATTTATTGTTTCTTTCTTCTTATTTGTACCACCAATGGCTAATGAAACAGTAATACGTGCAACATCTTCTTCAATTGATTCAATTGTACCATATAGATCACGATGAGGACCTTTTTCAATAAAAACAAAAGCTCCTTTTTCAAAACATAAATCATCTTTTTCATCAATGCCAGATTTTTTTAAATTACGTTTTAATTGATTAATTTTTTCAAGTATTTTTCTATCAGCACCTAAACCAAGACCACGAGGTCGAGTTTCTGGTACAAATACATCAACTTGTTTTTTATTTGATATACCAAGACCAGCATTTTCTTTATAACCCATACCACGTAAAACGGCCATACCAAACTCTTCAATAGGTACTTGTTCATAATCAGCATTTTCAATTTCTTTTTCTTCAACTACATTTTCATCATTGGTGATAGTATTCATAAATGTATTAACAGAATCTTGTTCAATACTATGTACACGAATAGTTCCATTTTCATTTCGTTGATTCCAAATTTCATTAGTTTCTTGAGCTTCACGAATAAGTGCACGTCTTGCATCATCATCTAATGAATTGACCGCTTCATTTGATGGTGTGGTATTTGACACAGCTATTTTATTTTGATTTGTTTTAAGTTTAAAAAATTTATGATGAGCATTTGGTTGAGCAGCAATAACAAGTTCTGTTTTGATAACAGTTGGCGTACTACTTTTGAGTTCACCATTATCAAAACCCGTGATAATTTCTGGTTGATCATTATTATTTGTTGTAGATAAATCAAATTGACTGGATGATGATGCAAGATTATTAAGAGCAGGTCGTTTGATACCACCAAGTTTAAATGTAACACGAGATGGTTCTGCCATGTCAAAAATTTATCTATAGAATAATTAAGAACAGTGAATATATAAATAAAAACAAGTAATGTCGACAGTTCTGTCGAAATCAACTATATTATTTATATTAAAAGCGATTCGTTGAATCTATCCAGCAAACAATAAGCAGCGCCACATGCTATGCTAAACAATGTAACAATACGTTCATTGTTTGGTAAAGAAATTTCACGATTTAAAATATGTCTTTTCTCACAAAATAATTGTTAGAATGTTAATTTATTTATCATAAACATTTTTTCCTAGTCAAATCACTTGAAAATTATATTTTTGAAATAATTGACGAAAACATAGCAGGGCTCAAGTTTTTCTATGTATTCATGTTCAAAAAATATTGTTCAACTTATCATTCTTAAACAATCATTTGCTATTTATGACACATGAAAAATATTTGAAAGTTTGATTACATTTTCTCTATGTCGTCCAAGTTTTTTTTATATGGAATACTAGAGTATTCAATATTTTAAGATTTCAGCAGAATGAACAAGTATTATCGGAGAAGAAGACAATTCAAAGAATTGTATTTTTTTGTAGGATTTCCGGATATTGTGAACAAACCATTCTTATGAATTGAATTTTTGAAGTCTAAATAATGCACTGAGTCCAAACTCAAAAACGAATAATTATCTAAAACATTTTTCTGTTAAGTCATCAAACAGATAGAACATGATTGTTACAAGAGACAACATAAAATCAATCTAAGAAAGAAAAAAAACTGATTTCAATTCAAAATTATCTTCATTAAGTGAGTTTTTTGATACAGTTATGTTGATATCTCTTGTGATATGATAGCATTAAAGTTCGGTAACAGATTTTTGTCACAATGGAAGTTGTGAAGTTAAAAACAAACACAGAATTTTCTCTCTCTGAAATATATTACAATAATTTCAAACTAAGAACAACAGAATTCATTTCATTATTTTCTGATGCCAATTCGTCACTACACGTTCACCAGACAAAGTTCATAAAAAAATTGCGTTTTTGTGAGTTGTAACGTGAACTTTTTACGTTTTCAGAAAGTTTTTTTTACTAAAAATTAAAATAATTTTTTTCTTTTTCCAGCGTATCTGTGAGACTCTCCTCGGGTGATCATATGCGAAAAATTTTGAAAAATCCATGCCGCTACAGTTAGCTTTTAGTAGAACAAGTGTATGGGTGGCCAATATCGATAACTTACTCACACATTTACGTAATGCGACAGTGTCACAACGACTATGATGTGAATTGTTGATCTTATCTACATTATCTAGAAAAACTACAACAATATATAAAGCAAAAGCATTTTACGAGCTCAGAACAATGCAGTCTACAATTTAGCATTAGCAGTTATGTGTTTGGTTAAGATCAATCTTCCTTTTTCAGTAAAATTCCATAGGGCCGTACACAATTTGGATCAACAAAACGCCACGCTTCGCCTGTTGTAACAGGAGCTTTGTGAATAGTGAACTTCTCAGGTTTCACACGACATTGAAAAACTAAACTGAATCGTTCGAACTTGGATGGAGATACTGTCACTGTGAAAGGCAAAGTATATTGAGGATATGCCCCGCCTTCACAATGTGTTGCCACATACACTCCTGGACTAGCGGCATCTTCTCCACCTTGTTCAATAGCTTCGTCGCGCATTGCATCACGCTTGATAGCACTGACTAGTAGACCATGTTTTATGATGCCAGTCACTGCATTAGTATTCGTTCCATGATAAGCGACAGCCCATTCACCTTTTGCATTTGTACGACCAATCCAAGTGGGATCTTTTTCATACTTATCGAGAACCCGAAGAGCATGACGATACCAGCCGATTGGCAAGTAATAAGGATAGCCTCCACGCGTATCTTCTTCTATTACGCCAGATTCTCTGTAGTCAAAATTGTGTTCTGGTGCGAGATCACTTGGTTGCAGCTTCAAGAATTTGAGTGCTGGTTTCCATGTATATTCATATTCTCCTGGTATAACATGTCGAAGAACTTTGTCTTTTGAGAAGCCAGAACGAGCATAAGTCTAGGATAATGATATAGAAAATTGCGTAGTTTGTCTATAATTTTTCATTGAATGTAAGCGAAGAATAGAGTGGCACGATTAATGATGAACTGTTTCAATTGCAAGAATAATTTATTGATTTTGTTTAGAAACCATATAGAATGAAACTCTTCAAAAAAAAAAGGACTCAATGTTTTTTTGTATATATAATTTCATCTATCTAAATTATGATTCTAAGAGATTGTGAAGGACGATGCTTTAACTTATCTCATGAATGGTATTTTCTGGATATTTAGATTTAACATCAGCATATTTCTCAGGCACCACTTATTTTTTTTATGAAACAGATCTTTCTGATGACTTTTTGTTCATAGAGATACTCTAGATTGGATGAAAGATTTTTATTTTCCTCATACTTGTAAATCTTGAGCAAGTTGTTCAGTTCTCTTCGACTCTGGTGACGTCAAACCAAACTTCACTTTACATTCTCTTTTTTCGTTATCCATTCGATTGATTGAGAATACACGAATATTATTTGTATCACAGGACAACGTCGTCGAGATCGATTTACAAAAATCCATGACAAACTCTTCGATCTTTTCCTTCGATCGAACAATATCCTGGTTATAGTCAAGATCAATCTCGAACTCGAAGTTGGCTGTCAACAAAGAATCCGTAGCCAATACATGAATACTACCCAAATCGACTACACCGCATGCTGCACGATAGATACTGTTGTCAAATTGATGATCATCATTAGTGAATGTCAGCTCACAACCATGTCCTTCTGCTAAACTATCTAGGCCAAGTACTAATGTTTCTGTTTCTTTTTCACCGACGAGCAAAGGTTCACGACGAAAGTCCACTAAAAAGAAATAGATGAGGTTCAAAACTTTTAAGAATGTTTTCAAAAGTTGATACAAATTCGAAACTCCTTTAAGATTGTGTAGAAATATATCAGAACTTTTGCAGATACTGTGTGATATATCGTACCTTTCTGTCGTTCAGTCTTGGCTAATCTTCTAACAGCTCGTCGATAGCGAGCAATGATTTTGTAAGGACGATAGTCATTAATACCTTCTGGATAAATAATATCGTCCTCTTCGATTTTGTCTTTTTTGTCATTTGTTGTATAATCAGGTTTATGTGATGTTGGTTGCATCTCAATGATGGCTTCATCATCTTTGATGATAATGTTGGTGACTTTGAGAGGCAATTGAGGTGATGGAGGTCGACGAATGGGTTTCGGTTTTCGTAATAATAATGGTGAAGATGGTGTGACTGTTCGATTTCGTGATAGTGATTGTAGTTGAGGAGCTGTCAGTGGTCGTTGTCGACGCTTAGGCATTCGTGGGGTGTGCCTATGTAAAGTCAAATTTGAGTAAACTCGCATAATTTCATTATGTCGCCTCAGTGTCATTCTACTAATTCGCACTCGTAGATTGTCGATTCGAATGCTGTGATTCTTGCTGATCGTTGTATCTCTTTCTCGTTCATTGCAGATCATGAATAGAATACGTTCTCGAGAATGAGAAATTCGTTCATTATATCGATATACTTTATTTAAATCGCCTATTGATCGTGAACGTCTTTGTTTTTGCATTTCTAAGTCTAAAAGAAATAGATCATCAAGGTTAGTAGCATACTTCTACGTCCATCGATATTTGAAAAGGCGGACAAATGTGTTATTTCAACAGATCAACTCTATCTATACTACTAGTGAAACTTATCTCTCTAAGACGGAATATTTCTTTTAGCTAAACGTATTTTAACCTACAAAAACTATATCAGATGTGATTTTAAATTTTTGCTACAACTTTTTACATCAATCATTTTACTGTCTTAAGGAAGGAAGATCATTCCTAAACAATTACTGTAGAAACTCAGCAAGATATGAGAAGAACATGAAACAATCGAGAATAGTCATCAATATTTTTTACCCATGTAACTAGAACTTGATTAAAATTATTATGTTAAAATGAATGATAATTCGCATGCGATCATTATTAGACTCACTCTTGGAAAGAATCGCAACCAACGAAAAAGTCCCTTTTAACCTGTTCCGATGACAGAAGGAATTTTTTTTTTACTTCTTTCAATTTTTGACGGTGTTAAAACGTCTACAATCTTAAAAATCTATGAGAGGTTTTCTACAGAACTACAGGCTATTGATAAATTTCCGCGTCTTCACCTTGGAGTCTGATCATGAGTACTTAAAATAGATCCAAGCACAATGGTAAAGAAATTTTTTCTTGAGTACCGATTTAAGACGAACTAAAAACGCACGCACACATCATAGACAAATGGTACGTGCTCATCAAGACTTAACTGATGATAGATGGCGTCAGTTATCTTCATTGCCTTGACATGGATTCTTATGATTGTAACATGTAAACACTAATAATTACTTCAGCCAGCTTTAAATTTAAAAGAAAACTCCTTGAAAGTCTTCAAGATCCAATAATATATTTATATATTTGTCAAATAGGCGTCTAAGTTGACATATTCATACAGCTATTTCAACAATCATTTGTTTGACTCAAATTGACTTTTTGAATGGAGGGAAAGACTTTAAAGAATATATTATAAAACGTCGAAGACGCGATAACTGTCGGCATACAAAAGTTACAACATGATTGCTTACCTTGTCACAATAATGAAATGAAATCAATAGCAGAATATTATTCTGAAAGGACAAAAAAAACACATCTTTCTGTTCTGTGTGAAAAAAATGACTCGTCAAATATTCTTTTCTTAACAGTAAAGAAAGAAAAAAAAAGCAACTAGGAATAAAATAAACTACTGATAACATACTACCAAATTTCTCATCTAACTGGATCTCGGTTCATCTTGGTTGACATTTTCTATCATTCTTTCAGTTTTTAATTTACGAGATGACTAAATAGTTTTCATTGAGATCGAACATATTACAATGCAATGTAGAATTCTTGTTCTGTTCATTCATTTATATGATTTTTAACTAATCCGCTCAGAAATTCACGTGTCGTTGTCATATAAACATCAATTTTAACAAAAATGGCTTCTCTGCGGAAAGAATGTTGGGTGTCATTGTACAATAGTGCATGTATTTGTTACTATGCAAGAGTTGAAAGAAGATTCACGTTCACACCACAAACCACAGGCATTTTTCCACATAGAACAGTGCCAGAATTCTATTAGCGAGTTCAACATAGAAAAAAAAGGGCTATGTACGGTACTGCTTCTAGAAATGGTCATGATAAACCATTCATTATATTTCGTTTCTCAATAAAAGATACAAATCTTGTTAGTGTCTATTAGTATAATGGTCGACTCTGGTCAAAAATCCAGGCCAAACCCAAAATATATCTCAAAACTTTGAATACAACCATGATTAAAAACTCTGATCACACATTGATCTTGATGCGTTCATAAGCCTAAGCATATATTGCGTTTAGTTTCTACTATTGTTAGTAAACAGATAATTCTTCAATCATTGCAAAATATATCAGATCATCTACAATGCATCATATACGTATGATATCAAACTGTTTTGAACCATCACATGGCAGACAATTAGTTTCTTTAGAGATAAAAAACTAGTACTATCAATAATCCACGTTCTAAAAGAATACTTCGATTCAAACTCTTCAAAGGGCAGACTTGTAAAGATAGGACTAAATAATCAAGAACTATTCATTATGTCTCAGAAAGACCTTTTTTCTTGTAAGAATACGAGAAATTAGACCACCATGTGAAAATTTTTATCAAGCAAATATGCTTGCTATATGAAATATAATCATTTTACCTTCGATATTAAACAATTCAGACATTTATATGAATTAGTGTAGAAAGCTCGAAAATATCCTCTCGTTCTATGACCACTTAGCTAGTTCTGTCTAAACACACCCTGTTTCTGTACGAAACTTTTCCCATAAAAATGATCTGAATAGCAACAAACTACACTATACAGTGTCTCACGCAGATATAGCACATGTAACGGTTACTAGTCGGTTAGTCTACCTTGTTTAGTATTCTACTTTTATGATATAAACTTATTGAAAATTTTCTTACTTCTAATCTTAATGACAGCTTCAGTACAGCTTTCAAATCAATTAGCTGTACCATATTTTTGGTTAGAGATGTTGCAACAGAGAGAAATTCTAAATATTAATGACTTACATATCAGATACCTACTGCACTTACTACAACACGAACGGACGCATTTTTTTCCTTCGTTTTCCGTTGCTAATATAAAAAAAGAAATACTCAACAGAAAACAACGAAGGTAATTGCTTAGTCAAAGTAGTTGTTCTTTTACAACTAGCGCAATTCACTTAATTTCTGTGAGAAGGCCTATTACTGCAGAATATAAACGCACAACGATGCATAACTTTTTTCTTTTTTGACTAATGAACAAGCATATATGGTTAACAGACTATGAGCATATTCTACAGTGCGCAAAGAAACCAGCTTTTTACATCACTATCTGTATTTTGAGGTTGCGCGTATAAAGGTGAGAATAGTTTTCAAGAGCTAGGTTTCTCGGTCTTTCGACTTTATAAATTGAATCAATCGGTATGAATTTCCTGACATCGATAATAGAGATTTGCTTGACGCATCACGTACAGAACAAGAGTAGTGTAGATGTGGGTATCGATTAATAAAATCTACCACATCCACATTCACACTAGATGATTACCACACAATCAGGAGAATTTACATTTAAAGTTAGCTTTTAGCCGGCATTGCAGCGACGTATCCAGGGGGGAATGGGGAATCAGTCTCCCCTGAATAATAAAAACATCTGGAGGGGGTACGGGTCGATCGAATTTTTCCAGCTGGAAAACAGTTTTTCTACATGGCGATCCCCCCTAAAAAAATTTCTGGCTACGTCACTGCGGCATTGGACTACTAAATACAATTGTTTATCAAAAATTTCCATGGATAAGTATCTTTTTAGTTCATAGATAAATATTTCAAAATTTAAGACTTAGTCAAATATGTCAAGGACTTCAAATGATGTTTGTCATATTTTTAACATTCTTTGCCGAAAGCCTTTCATTTCTATATAGAGAATAGTTTAACGGACATCCGATTAGTTTGAAACTTAACTGACACTAATATTATAGCAACCAGAAAAAAAAGAAAATCAAACTCAATCAGTTTGTCTTCATCTTAGTGTTCAAGATGTTACCAAAGTCTGCCGTGGAAAACAAGATGAGTATCTTTTAAATAGATCAAGTGATTTGTATACATATGAAGTTTGCACTATAACTTGGCTCAAAAATATATTCAAAAAATTATAATTGTCAGTTGAGAAACTTAATTCATCCTGTTCAAAATATTTAACGTTTTTACTGTTTATTCTTATCGATAAACCATTTAAAGAAAAAGCATCTTTGTCATTACAGAAAAATACTTCTCTTGACTATTAATATTCTCTAACATAGATATCAAAGTCTGACAGCTTCAACTCGGTCTTGTAATGCATAGTTCTTTGTTATCAATCGTCAATTTAATAAGATGGTCATGAGAATTATAATTAACAAGATGAAAAGAATAATAGACAAGTGCTCTTCTTTTAATTTAATTAAATTATATTTTTATTTGATTAATAAATAAAATTCACTTAAAACACAGTGACCTATCTGAAAAGAATATCTATTTGTGACTAAAATCATGCAAAGAGAAACGAAATAAGAAAAAAAAAGCAAAGATTAGAAATGAATTTTTTCTATGATTGGTAAAATTGCTTCAAATGATGGCCGTTTTGTTGGATCATCATGTGTACATATTTGAATAAGTTTATCAATATGAGATGAAATACCAGTTGCTGGTAAACGAAGATGTTCATAAACAATCTATTCAAATAAAATTCATTTAATTCCATTTAAAGAAAAAATTTTACACTTGAGAAAATACTTTTAAACCACATTGCATTGGTGTTAGATCACCAAATGGTATACGACATGTAAATAATTCCCAGAGAAGAATAGCAAATGACCAAATATCTGACGCATTGGTGAAAATTCCATTTTCTAATACTAAAAAAAAATATACGATTCAGACAATTTTTTTTCTTCTCAAAAATAGAATTTACCTTCAGGAGCTACCCATGCAGGTTGATCAAGTTCAATATTTGATTCAAATGAAAAATGACAATCAGCCAGATTAAGTCGAGCAACATATTCTTCATTGACCTAAAAGAAAAATGAATAGATTTCTGTGCGCATGTAAGAAGAAAAAACTTTTGTAAACCATGTATTCACCCATGAACACTCAAAAATGTCAGAAATTCTCCTCTAATAGGAATTTAAAAAAATTTTGGGTCATTCTGAATGGAGATGACTGTTCATGTGAATATTG